CTTGTAAGGAAGTCAAAATGAGACATACAAAGGGTGTCTTCATGCTTCAGAACGAAACAGAGTTAAATACCGTAATTTTCGGACTATAAGGCGCACCTGAATATAAGCCGCAGCAGCTAAATTGAATGATGTGTACATATATAAGCCGCACTGGACTATAAGCCGCAGGTGTTTTAATGTTTAATTACCATATGTAAGGGTTCGTGCACAGAGGGGATTGTCGGGAAAGAGATGGCTGTTTGAGGAAGCTCCCATATATTAACATTTCAACAAACAAGTTGCATATTTGCATAACGTATTCAAGTGTTACCATTTAGTGCAATAGTAGCTACAGAACATGTACTGTGCTGTGTAAACTGTACTGTATCACATAGCGTTTCAGACACACAAACTTTTCAACTTTCAAACTTAAACGGTGCGCTCCCAGCGCACGTACTGGCAGTGATCTACAGCAGCGGTTTTCAACCAGTGGTACGGGGACAAACTGTCTCGCTCTCGTAATGTCTGTCTGTATTGCTCTCGTTCTGTCTCTCGCACCACTCTCGGTTCCACTTTTACTTTTGCGCGCTACCTGTCTCACTCTTTTCCGGCCTCCAGCTTTTCCTGCTGGAACCCGCCGCTTAAAGTTGGGGGTCCGCGGACCGGCCATAGAGCCCATAGAGTTAAAGGTGGTGGCTGTTAGCTGTAAAAATCCATAGATTAGCCGCACCGTTATATAAGCCGCAGCGTCGAAAAATGGGGAAAAAGGCGCGTCTTATAGTCCGAAAATTACGGTAATGGTAAAAACACACAAAAAATCAAATGATTTCTTCAAATTTCCCACCTTAGATTCCCCGTCTTGGAGAACGGGTCGATGCATTCGTCTCTGGAAAGAATCCGATGAGAGAAAAGCTTCTTTTCAGGATCCAGAAAACCTAAAAGAGAAAAAAGGAAGATTAAAGATGGATGTGAATAAAAAAAAAAACGATGAATATTTGAAACTTCCTCTGCAAGGTCGCTGAAGGTATTTCACTTTATTTCAAAGAAGCATATGGCAACCAAATATGCTGTTTTATTTCCACATCTTTTCCACGGCACATCAATACAAATATTCTCTTTAAATAAGACATTATTCTGCTTTTCTTCTTCTAGCCATGATTATGTCGTTTCCATAGAGGTGCAGGACTTATATATTGCAGTAAAAAACACCCTGAAACTGCTTCAGGTTCAGACATTTCATCCACCTTTTCTCCCACTATTTACTCCTTAAATCAATCGTTGACATTTCAACATGATTTAGTTTTTCTTGCCTTTAGATTATACATTTTTGATTTGCCCTTTTTCTAGCATCAATCGTGTCGTTTTGATAGAGGTGCAGAACTATCTGTATATATTGCAGATACTACTTAGGGTTAAAACCTTTCCTCCTATTTACTCCTTAAATCAAGCGTTGCAAACCAGTGTTAATTTCGTCAACGAAAACTATGACGAAAAATGTTCGTCAACGACCTCCTTTTTTAGATGACTAAGACGAGACGATGACGAGCTAAAAATAGATTCTTGATAACGAAAACTATGACGAAATGTATATTTAGTTTTCGTTGACGAGACGAGACGGGACTAAGGTGTTAATGGTGGACTATCGGACATTCGAAATGCAGCATATTTTCCCCCAATTGTCCATCTTGTCTGTCAAAATGCATCTTACGTTTCTAACTTGCAATATCATTATTTCCGCTCTCTTCACTCCAGAAGAGCGATCTCCCTGTGTCTCTCTGTGTGCGGGGGGCGGGGCCTAACAGACATGCTGCAGCGGACACAGAGATCTGCCGGGGACGGAGCGTTCAGAGAGTATAGAGACACATTTGGACTAAAAGTTGACTAAAACGTTTTGAGTTTTCGTCGACTAAAACTAGACTAAAACTACGAAGGATAGGAATGACTAATATGTGACTAAAATTAATAACCATTTCCGTCTAAAGACTAAGACTAAATCAAAAACAGCTGCCAAAATTAACACTGTTGCAAAGTCTCTCAGGCTCTCACTAACAACTAACTCTAAGACACACACATGGATTACACCTTGGCTGCGGATAGAGACCTTCCCTGTAGTGTCTCTCCTTTAACCACAACAGAAACTGTAAACATCTGAAGCTCTGATCTGAAACGTGCTGACCTTCCTGCATCACAGCCGGTTGTAAAATCCAATTCAGAAGGCATTAAACTTTCATCATATGGAGGCCGAACAGTGAGGCTACTTCTATTAAATACAGCGTGATGAAAGACACAACCTGAATACCAATAAGACAACCTAAACTACCTACACTTCAATATAATCCAGCCTGTTAAAAATTAACTACATTAAGTTGTATATATCCATTACATATAGTTTCTTTATAAGCAGGTTATTCTATTGTAGTGTAGTCTAACTTATTGTGTATATAAATTTTTATATTGTTTACTCTTTAAATATTATTGTTAGATTTGCAATGCCTTGTTTACATGCTGCTGTGACAAAGAAATCGCAAATTGGCATCAATATAGTATATCTAATCTGTAGTCGAAAGCGGGTTCAGTGCAATAAACCATACAAACTCAGAACAACAAGACAAATGCAGATTTATTTGCTTCAAATAAACCAAACCATTGTGCATTATTGTCAAATGGGTTAAACTCTTGAAGTTCTATATTTTGTATGGATTTAATGGCCAAGGTAAAAGCAAAAAAGGTGGAAGGAATAGTATTCATCTAATTTAATCTCAATATATTTATCTAGAAGGATACATATATATATATCCTCTCACCCACCAGCCAAATGCAACTAAAACTAGGCTGGGGATTTGGAAGGTAATTAATGCAAAACATTAACTGGCTTCACATGCATGTTATAATGTAGCACCCTGCTGCTTTTAAATGACACATAGCCGGCATAACCTGAGCTGAAACGCAAATATAAGCAGACACCTCCCTCTTATGGACACAAATGTGCAGTACAACGCTGTTTTGATGTCAATGAAACTATGTGGATTCCAGAGATGGCAAAAGTACACACATCCTTTATTCAAGTAGAAGTACAGATACTCGTGTTTAAAAATGGTAAAAGTAGAAGTACTGACTAAACTTCTTTACTCAAGTAAAAGTAAAGAGGCTTTGAAATGTACTTCAGTAAAAATTACCCATAGCTAGCAGCTGTTTTAAAGAGTATCTGACCTCCCTTTATATTAATAGAACAATAATGTCATTGTTAGCTAATGAATGTTTCCATGCTGAACAACGGCAACATGACAACGTTTTCATTGGTCCCTCTTCTTTAGAGAAGACCAGGAAATGATGGATACACGGATCGCGTTCAAATCAATAGGCACGCAATGACTCTAAATAATAATGATCACGCCACCAAACACACATTCAATCTAAAGGAACCAGCCTGTTTGGAAAATGTGAGAAGTAGAAAGTACAGGTATTTGTGTTCAACATGTAAGAAGTAGAAAGTACAGGTATTTGGGTTCAACATGTAAGAAGTAGAAAGTACAGGTATTTGGGTTCAAAATGTAAGAAGTCAA